CAACGAGGTGTTTGGCAATTAGGGTACACTCCGGTGGTGCCTGTAATGAATTATTGCATTTATTATACATTCAAAATTGAATGTTTGCACTATTCAATGCTGTGCAAAAGTTTGGGTACGAATATACATAAAATGCATTTCTATGGAAAAGATTTTTTTCAATCTACAATAAATTTTGTCGTTTTTTAACAACTACTCATTGCATTTCTATGCTTTTTGTCTTATTCCGGCAATATTCTGTTTTGAATCTAAAAATCCAATGAATATGGCGGACTGAATAGTTTTGAAGATAAAGGGAGTTCAAAGAAATAACGATCGATTCTCACCGAATGAAAACAATCCTATCAGAGATCGCCGAATGCTGCGATTCCTGTTTCATTTTAGCAAACATTAACAATCAAACAGATTTGACGTTGTGAGTGTTGCTTTTGAATGTGCGATTGTGAAGTATTGGAATTCTTATGAGAGAGAGTGAAACGAACACAGACAGTTCTATATGTATAATTGAACTTGGAGATTTAACCAAGGAAGAATGAAAAATCAAAGCAAAATGCTCAAATAAGACATCTTGACAGCCATGTCATTGTCAACAGGGGCCAGAGTATGTTTTACTCGTGAATTGATTTTCTGTAACGAATGGAATGGCAATGTTATAAGAAAGGAAATCTGAAAGTATGACTCACCGGATGGGCAACGGGGAGCTGGAGTTGTAATCGGCCTTTGAGTGGTTGTGTAGCAATCTGGATAGAAACCCTGTGTGCCTGGTGGACAGACCGGGCGTTGTGTGGTCGTTATTGGCCTTTGCGTGGTTGTAAAGCAATTTGGGTATGATCCCTGGTGGCCTAAAATTGACAAAGAATATAAATAGGATATTGTATTGGGACCAAGAATAATTAATTGTCAACGAAGCGCATGTTATCATTCAATCTCGGGAAGAAAAACAATCAAAGTAGACGAAATACTACTTGGACGCTTACCAAGTAATATTTCTATTGAAATTTAAGGCGCCAAAGAAGCGCCAGAACTACTTGAAGTTGGAACATGTCAAGTCAAATCAAGCAAAATTTAACTCAAAGCAATATTCTAGTTCAAGTAGCTATCGCGCTCATTTGCCGCTTTAAATTTCTATGTAAATACAAAGCGTTTAAGTAATAAAAATCAAGAAAGCAATTTCATCCACTTGATTAACAATTAATTCTGCTTGAAAGCAGAAACACATGATTCATGTATGTGATGTTGTGTTCCAATTATTCTATTGATTATTGTTTTTAGTGAATAAGCTTTCTTTTCGAATGCTTATTGTTAAAATCTATACCATACCTGGTGGACATTGTGGTGGCGGTGTCGGCCGTGGAGTAGTCGGTTGTGGATAGCAATTTGGATATTGACCGATCAATCCTATTATTGAGAAAAAACGTCTATAGGTGTGCTTTCATTCATACAAATGTGCAGTTCTATCGAACTTTTATCTCATATTTGTTTTCATTTCTTTTTACAAGACATTTTTTTACAGTTAATGACAGATAGCTGCGGATATATGCTGAGCATAGAAACTCAGCAAGCTGAGATTGGGATATTTTGACTTTGTGGCGTTCTATTCAAACAAATTTATGATGGAGGGGAGTTCGGAACACATTTACCATTACACTACATCAACACTCCATCAAAATTCCGCATAAATTTGCACAAATAGCAAGACACAAAATCCAAACTTCCCAATCTCAGCTTGCTGAGTTCCTATGCTCAGCATATATCCTCTGCTATCTGTCATTGACTGTTTTTTAAGATTTTCACTACGCCAGTCACTCAATTGAGTATGTTTTGAATCGAAGAACTTCTTTTTCTGACGCAAATTTAATCGATGACTGTTTGGTTTCAGTAGGAGCTTTTCCCCCCTTTAAATCTATAACATACCTGGAGCACAACGTGGCGTTTGGCAATCGGGATAAACTCCTTGAGTTCCTGGCGGGCACACAGGACGAGGAATATCACAGACTTCGCGAACCGATCCGTCCGGGCACAATTTTGTTGGTGGTTTTGGATAGCTGTATCCATCTTTTGAACCATCGATCAAGTGCGAGACATCAGCACTTGCGACGGCGAGCACAGCAAAAAGTGCAAGCAATTTCTAAAATGAAGAATTGCAATTACAAATTGGTTACGACTTTTTTTTCTTTTCAATCAGAAAAACTCATAGGTGTATTAAATCAAGTAGCGCGCGAATTAGTAAATTGGCAATGTCAAATTTATAGCTATTGTATGATCGGCGCATTACGGTGCGTTTCGTAAGCAACCACCACCGATCTATTCAATCTAATTTGGTAATACATCGACTGAGCATCGCGAATTATAGATGCAGAACGAAGATTAGCGTTTGATGTGTATGTGTGTGCTCGCGTGATCAGCAATGAAACCAACGGCATGATGTCTTCCGACAACAAATTACCAATCACAACATTTCATTGTTTAGTACAATAGCAATGACAGGCTCAATATCTCATTCCAAATAATTTAATTAAAGACATTAAATACAAGTAAAGCGGGAACAGCAGTGGCGACGGTGCGGCACACCAGAAGAAATGGAAAAGAATACGATGGTGCTAGCGTTCAATCGCGTTAAAGGTCACCAAAAAATGCATCACGATTTCGAGTGTTTGAACCATTTGTATCTCGTTCAATGTGATACTTACAAATTAACTCTCTTCCAATTCTACATCGCAAGCCGATAATTACATAAAGCTTAATGTGGTTTTAAGTTTGTGCCCAACACCGTCGCCAAACAAGATAAATAGTACACGTAAAACACGGCACATTATTATTAATTGCAATGAATCAGCTTGCTGGAGACAACACGGTACCGACATTATTTCTGCCTCATTGAAGCTTGCCGGGAATATTGCAACGGTATTTTTTTCTTTTGTGTTGCAACCAAAGCATAACATTTGCTTTGGCATATTTATTTGACAAAATAGACACGAATTTGAAGCGAACGAAATATTGACGTTTTTATTTTGTCTCAACGAAGAAAGCTAAATTCATCATTAGTTTGTTAATGTTGTGTTGGTTGGATTTCGACGTTTGCATCGCATTGAGCAATGCAAAATTAAAGAATTAATTCGCAAAGCCACACAAATATATCAATTACCGAAACAATATAATGTTTCGGTTTTAGTATATTTTCATTTCGAATCGAACAAAATAAAACAAAGCCATGTACAGAGCCAAGTAAACACACGCTGAATGCGGCAAGGACGTCACAATCAAATCTAATTTGGTAAATATTTTAATTGAATTTTAAGTTCTCTTTCGTTCATCGGTCCATTCTCCAGCTCTATGCGCCACACTAATCAAAATTGCTTGAAACTGAAAATTAGCGTCCAGAAAACAACAGAGCAGAGGATGAGGAAAAAAAAAATAGCGAAACGAAATACTTGAAAATAGATAATGTAAACGAATGAACGACTGAGCAACAACAGAGAATTGAGCCTTGCTGGCTTAGTACGCGCGACTCTCAAACATCTTTCGCATGCACAAAGACAAAGGCTAAATCAGTCAAAACAAAGAAGAGGAAACCCGACGAGATAGATAGATGGATAAACTAGCTTGAAATACGTGTAAAATGTGTAACGTAATCGCTTGGCAAAGCAAAGCACACGGCACGGCCAGATGATTTGTTGACCCCAAACGACGTGTGCGAAAATTGTAATACACCTTTTTTTCTATTGTTTATTTGTGTTTGTTTATGTTGAGCTCACTCTCTCTCTCTCTCTCTCTCTCTCTCTCTCTCTCTCTCTCTCTCTC